TACGTGGAGACGCGGCTGTCCGGGAAAATGGCGTATACCTGACTTCATTATTCCAGTCAGTGCAGGGAAGTAGGATGTTAAACCCCTTGCAATTTACTATTGGTAATATGCACTTTGATGTACCTTATTCCTTAGAAACTTAATTGTGAACTGGTCATTTAGTTCGTGCGCCTGATCCACGGTTGTGCGTTCTGTCTGAAATATAAGGTAACTTAACATTTACTTGTATGTAAAAAATACTTGAAGCACTTTGGCGAAGACAGCGCTATATCAGTATACATTTATGTCTGTATTATGGAGCTAAACAGACCGCAGTAAAGGTCTGTGCATTAAGAATTCTTTAACACTGAAAAACACTAACTAGTATTTGAGAATACGACCATAAAAGCTTATTTTGAAAACTAATACGCAACAAAATAGCCTATTTAACCAATTACACGTGCGAAGAACAATAAATGTTGTACTTTTACGAAACTAATACATCGTATTATTTTACGAAACTAAACCATTATGATAAGAACCTAAATAATTGTTTTATTATACGAAAGTAAACCATTGTTGTATTTTACGAAACTAAACCATTGTTTTATTAACATTATTCCAAGGTAAAATAACCCCAATCGACCATGTACAATAACAGTTAAACATTATCAGTGTTAATTGGTCTAAAGGGAGTTTATGTACTGTAAACCATTATCCGTACCTTTGTTAAGGTGGTATACAGATGTTGAGGTATAATGGCTGCATGTGTACACAGTGTATGTATACTATTTGACTTATCCCTAATGTCTACTTTATTGATGTACATCACTTGTAGCTAGTTTCATATATTATTACTGTTATTTTGAGATTTGCCCTTAAATATACCCAGTAATAAGAAAATAACAGATTTTTTCTGCGATATCAACCGCAGTGGAAATTGTTATCCGCCGATGACAAATCTGCGTGTTATATCTCGATGTTCAGATTACTTGTTTTATGTCATATCGCTGTAATTAAGTATTTGTAATTTATTTGGTTATTGTTACGAATAATGTTCAAAATCCATAGGGGGTGGGTGGGCGCTGTTGGACGGTGCGGGATTTGGATTCGTGACTAGAATATTTCGGTTTCGATGTCGGCGTGGTTCAAGACTCAAGAGGAACATTGGGGATTTGTCAATCACGGCCCTTCACTGGTCAACAAAAGTGCATAGTCGGATTTGACCATATAGACCGGTTCCCGCCGTCTTCATGCTTTGGCAGTTGAGAGTCGAAGAGTACGCGCTGACGCTGCTGACCCTCATGCAACATGCTGCATGGCGTAGTCTGATCTTCATTAGCCCGGCTGGTGGAGCAAGTGGAATGTTAAAACGCCATTTCATTTGATGTGTTTTTCTTCGTATGTAGGCTATTCTGGCAAATTATTATTTTGAAATGTACCCCGAGCTATCAATATGGATAACGGATAAACACGTCTTTATCTATTTTCACAGTTGTTAATTTTTGCCCCAAAGTTTTCTATAAATAGCAACATAAATACATATTATGTATTGTTTTCCATATTAATTTCATATTGGTCGACGTGGATATCCTCCCTCGTGTCTATAAATATTGTTTCTGGTTGTATTTCGGTTTGTTGGAAAATAAAGGCAGATCCGGCATTTTGTACTCTGCAGGTTGAATTGAAATTGGTTTCGGAAATGAAATGGGGCTTAACGTATAGTCGTTCGGATGGTACGAAAAACCTAAGTCCCGTGTACACATTTGCGTGCACTTTAAAGATTCCTTGGTAGTTGGAATTCGATGTGAGTAGGCCGTAACGCCGCTGTCCGGGCAAAATGTCCCTCATAGCACACCATATGGCGTAAACCCATCTTTATTAGCCCAGTCAGAGCAGAACAGTAGCACGTTAAACTCAATTTCATTTCATTTCGAATTCCAACTGTTCTTCTACGTGCACACACGCAAGTATACGCGACCTCGTTTTAGTGTCCCACCCGAAGGACTAGAAGCTGTTCATTGCCAGATGCCCCACCCTGCACCACTGAGTAGGGACAACTCTCGAGGTACTTGTACTTTCTTGGCCAATACTTGCCTACTGGTATATACGTACGGAGCGACCGGGGATTCCATGGTGCAGGGATCAAAATCTGAAAACTAAAGAAGATTGCTATTCTTGGCTTTTACTGTGCCTTATTAATAATATTATGGTGTTGTAAGTGTGCACAAGTTAAGAATCGGTATCGGAGAATATTAGCATTGTATGATGAATCTATATTGTGTCACGTGTTCTACTGTTTTGATGCATGAAGTATGAGGAAGATAGCATCTAAAGAAAAAATTAGCCTGGAAGTGTGGAATATTGGCACCTTGTCAACGATAAATATTTTGACACATTTCCAGGTTTAATCTGTGCTAAAACGGTTGTTAGTTGTCTGAAACATTATAAAACAAACAACGATCATCTACCTAATGAGCGATATTGATACAATAATTTACTTGCGCGATCTGAGACCATAATGAACTGCACGATCCGAACGCGTCTATCCTATGTGCAATCAATATTCAATATACAATAATTAGTTCCAGTTTTGTAATAAGTTAGTTACAATCTGATTAAAATACAGATCTATATTTGGTTTCGTAGTTTTATACCTGCGAAGGACCAGTTGTAATGGGAGGTTGCGTCAGGATTTTGGCCCTATGACGTCAGACTGCTGATAACCAATCAGCGTTGATGTTTCTAGTAGGATACCCACAGTTCCGTGCACCTTACGCCAAAAACTCGCCGTAACAGACTGTGTCTTTGGCTAATCCCTCACATCTTCCTGCAAGCGGATTATATAACAACTCTTCCAGATCCTAGTGTAAAGACAAGTAAAACGAAATTTTGAACTATAGAAAGCGAAACGAAATAGGATCTGTGTTTTACTCAGACTGGCGTTAGGTATAGTAATATGTAATATGTAACTCAAAGCATGCAGGTGCTTGGATCTTTGTTTATTTACACTTGTAAAATTACTATGAGATATAATATGTAATATAATCTCAGTCGTGAAATATGGTTTAACATACTGCATGGCGTATGTTAATATGGGGAGAAATTTTACCCAGAGCAGGCAGCAGCGCCAAATTCCGGACAGTATATGGCGTATGCCCGTCTTTAATACTGGAGCAGAACAGTAGGACGTTAAACCCATTTCATTTTTATTTATTTATATTGGGAGGTGGGGGGAATTTCGATTCGATTCTTACTTCCAGGTATATTCTGTGTAACGTCTCAACGTAAAACTGTAACATTCATTATCCCAGTTGGAGCAGAACTGTAGGACGTTAAACCCCATTTCGTTTGTCTCAAGATGACCTAATAATTGTGGGATTGATTATTTATAAATCTAAAGCCAGTTATACAGATATATGGTATTCAATATGATGTACCGAAATACAACTTATTGTGTTCTCCTCACGGTGTTCAGAATCTGTACTGGTGCCAATCGATTCTATACACAGATAAAATCCCATGTTTTCATTCAACTGCCAGAAACTCTTCTGAAAGACATAATACATGTTTTCTGATTATGTTTTTTTCGCACTGTGTAGCTTTTGTTTAACACTATTGCTTTTGTCCGGATTATTATTTTTAGTTTATTCTTTATTTTCAAGATTTAATTATGAGTCAACAGGCTGGGAGTGATTGTTATTTTCAGAAAAATTGCGAGAGGCTAATAATATATCCCAGCATATTATATAACATTAACTTGGCAGGTCCCGAGGCCTGTACCACTGACAAGGTGGGGGTGGGGCACGCTGAAAAATGAATCCTCGGTAACGCCGGGATTAAACTCGGCCTTAATTTCTTCGTGCAAATGAGAAGAAAATGTTTTGCATCTACAAATTGCGTGTACAAAAATGTAGAGCACGGCCAGTGGATCGGTGACTTTGCTCGGATGTTACAAAGCCTTACCTCACCCCTCCACACACATACTGGCTAAGAGATTTGGTCTCCTTTATCCGGCAGATCACATGAGTAAATGTTACTATATTAAAAGTACTAAAAGCTTTGAGAGGATAAAACAAGAACGATCGTATCATATGCACCAGACACCGATCATGTAATCTCAGCCACCTTGGAAGTGTGACTTTATGTCTGTCCATCGATGCGCAATAGTCCAAGGAACAATCATATCGAGTTTCATGTTGATCGTACTTGAATTTGTGAAGCTTTATTAATTTTTTCGAAGAGCGTCCTCCCAAGAACAACAACAAGAGATTTATGGTCCAAAAAATCGGATCAATAGCCCAATCCCGCCTAATAAAACGTGATATCATCAACATAATGTGTAACGCATGGTCTAATAAGACAATATTCTATATCTACATATATTATAGATGGCTATGATACTTATATTACCCCGTATCAGACAGGCCATGATTTCATTACATAATTTGTGCCAGGAAATTATCTCTTATTTGATTTTCATATCATTTGCTGGTGGTTGATGTAGACTCAAAGCCGTCGACATATTCCAAAATATCTGGCTTATGTGACTTTTATGAACATATTTATTTTAAAATTCAACATGTTTTGTAAACAGTGATAGAGAACGTAAAACAATAGTTGTGAATACACTTGATTTGATTATTGATATATCTGTGTAGATTGTTTGTGGCTTGTCCGCAGGTTTGTATTATTGGTTTGGTTTATTTGTGTGTGTTGTGGCCTTCCTGAACTGACTAAGAATGTAGTACATTGTAAATAGTAACGTGACTGGTTGTTATTTTTATTTAGACATAATGTTTAGTAATTTAGACGAATATTTCATTTTTTTTAAAATACATTTTGCATCTATTTTTGACTTTCTTCAAGTAGATCATTTGTTTGTGTAAAATTATTTTTTAGTTTTCATGCACTGTTGTGAATATTGTTTGTATGATAGCCGATATTGTCAAGATTCCAACGTTTTCATCTTGTAGATCGCTTGGTAATTTCTTGTTGGTGCCAGTCTGTTTCTGGCAGGAATAAAACAAATGGTTTACGATCAGTTGAACCGCGGTCCGATTACACAAGTCTAGGCAACTTAACACAGATTGTGTCGAGATTGGTAATACTGGATATTGGATTGTCGAATGAGTTTTGTGAAAGCGAAGATAAAAAATTGAGGATTTACCGAATAGTTTAAAATGAATGATATTAAATGTTTTGTGATAAATATGTGAAATATTGTAGACGAGGAGAAGACCAGTATAGGTGTATGTAGTATTTGTAGGTATATGCGCTGTTATCTTATGTGCGTCGTAAGAAGTATTTTAGATTTTAAAGAATTATCTATAGATGCAAAGTTACTTACTGAAGACGAATTTTCTAGAATGGTAAACCCATGTTATATCATATACACTATTAAACTAATATGTTTCGATATTTAAAATAAATTTGAAACAAGCCATCTCGCAGATATGCATGCGTACAAGGTTTTGGTGTTCGCAAATCATTTAGCAAACGCTCGAGAAAACAAACCTATCTCGTTTTGGGTTTATTTTGAATATTATTCAAACGTGTTCTATTTTCTTGTTGAAAGGGAAAATGTTATTTAAAGGGCGTATGGTGAACATGGGTCTGAAAGCACATAATTAATAATGTAATGATTTATATTCATTTTTTATTATTGCAATTTCTAACTAATTATGTTCGGTGAAATACGCTAACAATCCAAATTGAACTTCTCTCGTTTATGCCTGCTTAGTCCATGCTAAATGTATTTTTTATTAATATTTTGTTTCTGTCGTTAATCAGCTAGTACTAATTACGTTTACATTGTCTTGTCGAATAAGATTTTCTTACAAATTTCGACCGAAATCATAGAATACACGACTCGTGTACTGATTTTAAAATGTCCATTATGTCTTAAATGTTTGATATTAGGATCTCATATTTTCAAGGCAAAGATAACAACATCAATATTGATTGAAATGGGCTAATATTGATTTTTAATTCGTGTTTTTAATTTCGAATTTTATGGAAAAATTTGAGTTACAGGTTTAGCTCCTTTTAGAAGATAGTTGGCAAAAAGGAGATTATTTCAGTTTTTAAATTTAAAACAGAATTTTTTTATTGTATTGGAGTCAGGATTATGTTAGTATCGTGTTTTTATGGTCTTATTTATTTATGGAAGATTGAAATATGATATTAGTAATGGGGTAGGACACATTTTTACGATAATCATGTTTATAAGGGGACGTGACTTATAGATTAAACATTTCAATGGCGATTTATGTATTTCATCCCAACTCCATTAACGTGGTTGGTTGTTAAACCCCATTTAATATTTAAAAAAAAAATATTTGTAAACAATATTTTATTTCATCTGAAAATGGATTGTGGAACAGGCTAGGCCTATGTTGACTCCTCGCCATTTAAATCATAATCTTTAAGAGGCATTTATTAACTGGAAAACATCTACTTACTCATATTGGCGACGTTTCGAAGAGTATTCGCTCGACGTTAACAAGCTAATATCAGACTTGATAACGTCGAGAGAATACTCTTCGAAACGTCGCCCAAAAAAATAAGTATCTGTTTTTCCATAAGTATATTGTGCATTAATTTAAATCCGTCATTTTACACTTTGATTGAATTAAACGGAAGAAGAGAACAGGATAATTTTCGAATTAGTGTGTGTTTTGTAGACGCTAAACACCAGTTATATTAACGTTGGTGGTACTTCTATCGCGATCTCTTTTAACGCCTGTTCTATATTATCACATGCGAGGTACTGTCAATCTCTCGTTTATAATATACCACGGTAAATTTACACGTGCATGTATTACGTAGGTAAAGTAGATACAGCCACAGACTCATAGATATAAACAATGTATAGTTCATCGAATTTTATCACATGTTTCTGATTTCATCAAATTCAGATAAATTCTTAATGATATATTTTTTCTTTTTAATATCTAACATCATTGCTGTTTCTAATTTAATCACTCACATGAGGAGTTGTATTAAATCATATTGTGGTTCTACTAGGCCAGTGTTGATTAATGTTTTTAGAAAAAAATTAATTAATCGTAATTTTAATTCCACATTGTTTCATACCCTTTTATTAAAATAATAACATACAAAATGGTTTAACTATTACTGTTCTGCAGTTACTGGGCTAATGTCACTAGGCAAACCTCGACAGACTCCGGTACACTACATCTAACCTCGGCTGTATGACGAATTCCGTCATTGGAACTACTTTGAAGTTCCCGGATCAAACATGGCGGCGCCCATGAAGACACCCGTGAAGAATGTCTTATCCCAAGAAAATGTATATTGTTTGTTATGTACCTTAAAGTTGCAATTTCATATTTTTACGTTATATTTTTAAAATTTATTAAAATAAAGCCTTAAAATAGATGGTATCTATAAACAGTCCTACCTTGTTAAAGAATAATCCTATTAATCCTATAATTCACTATTGTCAGTTGAGAAATTTGCAAAAATATCATTTTCCTCTTCAAATTCAAACGTTTGAAAAAAGCTACTCCATGGTGGAGAATAGAAAACAGGGAAGGTAATTGTGTTATTATGTCCGGTGTGAAACATTTTTGAGTGTGAGAATGATAACTATGATCGTATAATAGTGAGTTGACAACCTATTGAGCAAAAGATATAGAAATAATTATGTTTGACTTTCTTAGAAAATATGAAATTGTAACTTTAAGTTTATCCCATTTTCTTTAAAGAAAGGACAACTTTGCAATGAAAACTCTACACGTTCTTCGAACAACGCCGATTTGAGAACTTCTCTCTAAAAGCGACAAGTAAACCGGTAGTCACATCGCAATTGTATGGGTGTAGCAACATATCACTTACCGTCATACATCCGAGACTAGAGGTAAGGTACCGGAGTCAGCCCACTGTGCGCTGGCCGGGATTGTTTTGAATCACCCGATTGACTATGCACCGTTACTTGCGGGGTCCTCTGTCCCGAATCACTGACAACGGGAAAATATACTGAAATGAAAATGATGATCATAAATATTTTGGATATGTAGCCCTACATGTATTAATTCTTGATTTTTTAATGGATTCCTTGATGAGATCTTTTCCATGTATTATATATTTTATTGACATTAACAATTTATTTTGGCTCCAATAATACTCTAAACTTATTTATTCATTATGTAAATGTGTATTCTTAAATTGAATAATTTAATTTAAATTTTAAAAAAATATTATTACCATAACCAAATGGTTAATTACCAGAAACTATGATGTTATAGTCGTGTGATTGGTATCACTTATTGTTAAAACGATTATATGTATCGTATTAAAGTGGTGGTTTCGATTCCCGGTTGTACGTGACAAGGAGTAGGGTCGCCTGTCCAACCTCGTGGGTTTTCTCCGGGACCCCCGGTTTCCTCCCACTGCTAAAGACGCCTATTGAAATGGCTTAGTTTGTGTCGAGTAGACATTTAACCCCATTTCTCTCTCTCCCTCTCTCTCGTATTGTAGTGATTTGTTGGTCGAGTAGTGTAACGCGTGCACTTCGGATCATAAGCTATGCCAGTAATTAAGTCAAGCGGCGAAGTTTGGGTCCCGTACCTGTACGTGACAAGTAGTAGTAGGATCGCCTGTGTAACCTCTTGGGGTTATCCGGATCCCCCCCCCCCACATACACACATACTGTTAAAGACCCCTGAACGCAATCGACTTATTGAAATTAAACTGTACTAGAATATAATCCCTTGTTTGTGTTTAAGTGGACGTTAACACTCGCATTGCACACAACCAAATTCAAATTAGTTCCAAAATGGGTATGTTACACACGAGCCCCATTAACCGTTATGCTTTACGCACCTTTATTTTTATTAAGTGCAGTAAGTGTGTTAAACTGTTAAGTGTTGTCATCCAGATGGTATTTTACTTATAAATAATATGTATTTTATTATAAACTCTCTGGTTTATATTAATACTCATTTAACATATATAACTCTTCTGGTTTACATTACTACAGAAGCCCGTCTGCTCAGCGAGTAATACGCTGGCTTACTAAACAGGTGGATCGGGTTCGAGTTGCGGCCCCGGCAGTTTTCAGCTTGGCGTCACCCTGAAGGTCAATGTGTAAGTTGATGTGCGCATGACCGTCTTTATTAGTCGCGTTGGTCCTGAAAAGTATGACGTCAAACCCCATTTCAATTCATGTTCTGTTATAGTAATTCTCAATCTGATTAAAACACATATCCTATTTCGTTTCGTTGTTTTATAGTACAAAATTTCGCTTTACTTGTCCTTCCTACATTATGATCTGGAAGAGTCGTTATATAACCCGCGTTCTGGTTGATGTGAGGAATTAACCAATGAAACGGTATGTTGCATCTATTTCCTGGTGTGCGATGCACGGAACTGTGAGTATCCTATGTCTGACGTAATAGATTCAAAAGCCGCTCGTATGACCCCTGACGCGACCTCCCACTATAACTGGTCAATTCTTCATGTAGTAGGGGCTATCGAAAGTATATAAAAAAAAAACGAAACGAAATATAGATCTGCATTTTAATCAGATTGAGTAAACCTCTGACTACTAACATAAAACACATTATAACTATAATCGTTTACAAATAAACCCTTGGCTATAAGAATGCTCCTCTATTGAAGAATCAACTTTCTGAAGAATGTTTCGAATACTTTTAGTAAATGTGATGTCTATACTGGCGAGGTTATGTACTATAAAATCACAACCAGGAGACTCGCCAAATACCAGACTACTTTTGAACGTAAAGCAAGTAAATAATATACCGTTCTACAAGTAAAATGTTTTTTTTATTTCTTTTAAATGATAAAAGTGAATGTATATATTTTATCAGAAACTATGGAATGTTCTGCTGTATTCTCAGGTTGTTTTTATGTTTTTATTTGTCTGAAAGTTTTTGAAGGTTGCCAAAAACATGTAATCCTAAACTGTAATGAACAAACAGGGGAAATAGGAAATACTAAAGATGATTTTCCAGTTAGGTACCAGAGAGCGGGAGCAAAAGAAAATGAAATAAAATGGCATTTAACGTCCTACCTGTCTGTTCCGACTGAGCTAATAAAGACGAACGTACGTCATAGGGTGTGCAACGGGGAGGATTTTGCCCGGACAGAGGCACTACGGCCTACTCTTCTATCGAATTCCAACTGTCATGTAATCTTTTACGTGTAGACACTGTTCTTGCCAGGCACTCTGTTCTGCACCATCGACAAGGGGACATAAACTAGGACATTTCGGGATTAACATATGGTTCAATTTTGTTCTCAATAATTCGCTTGCGCGTAGGAGTCTATGACATAGGGAGGAAACCGGATGACCCGGAGAAAACCCACGAAGTTGGACAAGCGACCCCACTCATTGTCACATACGAGCGGGGAATCGAAAGCACAGCACTTGACTCAATGCTCGACTTTACACTCTAAAGGGAACGCGTTAAATCATCCACCCTCCACACACACCTACCTACCTAAACTACGTACCAGCCATTTTAAAATGACTATACTAGCCAGTATCGCTAGACCGCCTAATGTTTCGAAACTTAAATTTAAACTGTATAGATCTTCTTCGATTACTAATCAAAGAAGCACATCATATCAACCTGATTCGATCATTGAAGTTTAGCTCTGCAAAGCAACTGATTTCGCAATCTACAATATTGTTAGCGTTGAATCTCTAAACAGGGATGTCAGCCCACAAATGGTTTATTCTCTGCAGACGAAATAAATAAGCCATCGTTAACTTTAAGTGTGGAATAAAATCTTTTCGTTGACCTCATTTTAATCCGATGGGAATCTAAGCCGGGAGATTATACACCGTTCATTTTTTCTTTTCTTAATCAAAATTCTCGACCAGGAACTGGTCGCTTACCACTACTCATGTTGTTCATGGGGTGACGCTCTTCGAAAACGCCTAAGGCTCCGTCAATTCAAGTCCGATCGACATGAAAATCGGCATGCTTGTTCTTTGGCCAATTTTGCATCGATGTGGTGAATTAGAATTTTGAATTTCATCCAACAACATGGCCAGTTCCTTGTCCATAATACGATCGTTTATGATCAATTTGAGTACATCTGTATATGTTATGAAGAAATGGGAAAAAACTAAAATTAGACGTAGATAACCAATTGTATACACTATCTATAACGAAAGTAAAAAGGAAGTGCTATTTTATAACATAATTAAAAATTCTCACAAAAGAAAATGCCTCAAACGAGGCAAGTCTTTATCTTAATATCATTCACAGACTTCGACATTGCAAACACAATTTATTCTCCAATTTAAATCAACAATGATGTTGTTAACTTACCGTAAAAAGATGGACTTCTGATATCCAATATTTAAAACAAAATCAAAATTGGCACACGAATTGCGTGCCAGAATGCTTTCGACCGCCATGTATAATGAAGCGACTTTATGAACGAGGCTAAACATACCCCACAGGAGAATACTACCGGTGTAAACTGGAATAACCAGACGCCAAAGACTGCCATTCAATTTGGACTCGCCGAACATAACTGATTAGATTAGAAATTATAGTAAAACAGAAACGATTGAATATAAATCAGTTTATATATTCATATTATATTATTATATGCGTTGCGACCCATTTCTAGGTGCCAGAGAAAAGGGATTTAGCTCAATTAAATATTGAAATGTCATTAGTTGTAGCCTGATTATCTATACCAAATAGAAGCGACTGGTGGTAAAAGAGTAATTATGTATTTTTTTCTGTTCAGCTAGCTTAAAGATTTATGTTGCCCAGACTGATATTTGATGTTACCAAGCTGTTCCCATTGCTTTATGACTGCTCAATTAAAATCTGTATTTAAAACAAGCTGTGTTAGAGAGCATTTTCTAATTAACCTGTTTATAATATGCTGCCCTCGTTAGCTAAGTGGTCCATATTTAGTTCAATTAAAACTTTTTATTTGAAACAAACGCACTGAAATCGGGTTTAATGTCCTACTTTCTTCGTCCACGGACATTGCTTTGATATAGATGTCTTAGAATTCCAAGTGACATGACCTCTGTTGTCGTACCATACGAACCACTAGACACCGTCCCTTGCCAGGCACTCTGGTTGAAGAACTTGCTATTCTAAGACAATTTATTGGCATACCCACTTTTGCTAAACCACATTTACTGGAAAGTTTATAAATAAAGAAAAATTGTGCTCATTATTCTAATAAAGGGTTGTAGTATTGTTTTAAAACAAAGTATTTAAATAAAACCTATTTTAGAGTTACTTTATTTCTTATACTCCTAGTAATTTTCACATTACTTATTTGTTGTAATATTGCCTTTGTCTATGTAGTCATACGTCTCATTTGCGTGTAATTTGTTTTATAACTTGATATCAAGTCTTCTTTTGAGGTTTAAGCTTATTCAGATTGGATTAGCCCAGTTATTCAATTCGTCATATTCCTGTTCATTTGTATATAGATTAAGGTCTGTAGTTATAAATTATTATAATTGATAGTGTTATGAATTTATGAGTAAAGTTCAGTAAAAGTGATTAGAGATTCTTATCTTGAAACATACCAGGATTGACAGTAGCGTAGATATTATAGAAGGAGGGATGATAGTGGTGGGGGAGTTGTGCGATGTCTGCCACGGGAGGAACATTTTGTTTAATTTAGGTTGGACCATTTTGGTCTCTTCTTACACTGTAAAAGGTTGTTTTTTTCTGTTTGGATTTGTTTGGAAAGTAAAACGACATTCTATTTTTAACAATTTAAGTTTGTTTGATGTTTAGTGTGCTGTATTTTCTGAATGTGGGGTGCGAATTGGAGGAAATCCTTGCCACGCCATTGAGTATCAGTATCCATATTCTTACATTTCAGGAAATCTGTGTTTTAACAAAAACAATCTTAAAACTATGATGTGAATATTTGACATACCTCATATTATATATTTTTTGTGAAACGTCACATTCTGACTTACAAAACAAAAACTATGGAGAATTGGATTCTACTATCGATTTATACAACATTATTATGGGATATAGTGGGAAGTGGCGTCATAAAACAACGCTTAAGTGACCATACTGTGACAACAAATCAAGGTCGAATAAGGGGTGTGGTCGTGACCTTTATTAAACCTGTAATGGACCTACGACCAGTGACAGCTTATCTGGGTTTGAGATATGGCGACATACAAGGAGGAGAACTGAGATTCTTTCCGCCGAAAAATCCGTCTGAGCGATGGTCCCTAGTAAAATCAACAGTTGACATGCACGCCGTATGTCCACAAAAGATACCGAAAATGAACATGTCTCCTTTGAATCCCTTTATGGATAATATCATCCCGTTTTTAAGCAAACAGACCGAGGATTGTCTGACTTTGAATATTTATGTTCCACAACAAGGTAGGTTTATATTTATTCATTTATCAATTTATTTATTATCATGGTCATGGGGGTAACGCGTGTGCATTGGATCATTAGGTCTGTCATTGAGTGAACTGACGTGGTTTCAATTGTCCACTTGTACACGCAGAAATGTTAAACTGTTGAGTAACCAATAAAATAGCCCCAACGTCCTGCCAAGACCAAAAAGGTAAAATTGAATGTTATAGTTAACGAGTAGTTATGTATTCCCGATAACGCTAGTATAATACCATACACTGCGTATATTTTGTATTATCGGAACGTTTGCAGGAATACAATTACATGTTATTCGTGTAGATTAGTTCGTTGGTAGCGGTGCAATAAGAATCGTAAAAAGAAACAGTTGTCTCTGTAACGTGGATTATGTTATTTTTGTTTTCGCATGGACAAATCTACTCGCACCTTCCGACTAAGTTTACCCAAAGTCTGTTATGGCATAAGCCCAAATTCAGCAATGTAACCCAACAAATGCTTTGTTTGTCATATTTGTCCATAGAAGGCGAAAGAGGGTTAACATACCGAGCCCTGAAAACAATGAGTTTGAAAAAAAGATCTTGATGTCAAAAATTAAAAACAACCCCATTTGTAAACGTTGCAGTCCAACCACCTGCATTATCTGCATGGGTTGTTCTGATGTGTGTGTGTGTGGATGTACCATTCTGTGTGTATGCTCGAACATGAAACAGAGTATTACACGATGTTATAAATGTAAGCAAACGATATTATGTTATTATAATTACCACTACATGCCTCCCCACACAAGCTAAGAAAAGAAACAGTCGCATAAAACAAATAATAAAAACATAACATATCAACACTCAACCACAGACAAACACACATATCAGACTGTACATATCAGTGAACACACACGACCTGATCTCGAATCTAAATACTGATGTTCTCTAATACAAGGCCAGATCTCGGATCTAAATACTGATGTTCTCTAATACAAGACCAGATCTCGGATCTAAATACTGATGTCCTCTCATTCAAGTGATATCCGTGTGGGCGTGTACTTTACTGCTTTTTAGTTGTGTTTATAATATATTCCAAATGTAATAAGACAGCTGGCCAGTGCTGACAAGTTTCAATTTAGCTACCCACCCCCACCCCAAACGTATCTCAATATTCATTGGTCGAAATGAATTATCGTTAATACGTCGACATACTTTTCCCAGAAGAAATTGGAGACGGTGACTTGTATTCCGGTAGATCGTAATTAAACTTTAGATGGTCATAACATAGGTTAGAATTGGTTTATTTAATCATTATTGGACTGATAAGCTTTAAACAAGACTGCTTTTTATTGCGTATTGTCTACAAGGCATCGTCCGTCGGCAATAAAACATCAACGGTTTCGATTCCAAACTTAAGACCCCTTTCTTGAAAAAAGCCTACATCTAATTATACTTGAGCAGGAATCCTAGACAAGTTGCGTAATATAAATGATTATCATTACCATTATCATCATCATTATTGGAAGCTTAATTTAACATATTGGGCCTATAATATGTGTGATGTGATCCTCTCGCACATATACGCTTATCCTAAAACCAGACCAAACAGTAAGTCTGTACAATCCATTCAGAAATCATGTTGTTTTCTCTTTAAACACCTCGGCCATGTTGCAACATCCATTTTGTTTATTTAAGATTTAACAAATTATGTCGGTAAGTTTCTTAAGTTGACAGTTTACAAGATTTTTATCTCGTTATATCTTTCCCAAACTTCTCAACACGTGTTAACACTGTGTTATATTTCACGGCTGGATATCTTTAAATGAAATGAAACGGGGTTTAACGTCCTATGTTTCTGCATCCACCAGGCTTAGGAAGATGTTGTGGACAGAAGGAATGATACAAATTAGTACAAAAACACTTACATTCCTGGCTTCGATATGGCCATTTAAAGGCAAATATAGAGTTAAGGACCATTAGCAACAAGACATTATCATGCCTCTTTTTGAGTGTTGGTGGGGTAGGGGTAATCTTCTGAACGATTATCTAAATCTTATTTTTACTGAAAGTGAAATGAAGTAATTAAAAGATTTATATTGGTCCTTTGTGTTGCTGGTCGTTTAACACGAATAGTTTGTCCTTTTTCTTCACGGCTCACGTTACCTTGAACAAAGCAATTTTAGAATCAAATTACCCACTAGACGGCGTTGGATTAGTTCCGGTTTCTTGTTTACTGAATTATCACGTGCTTGTACGAAACTAAATGTCAATTGTTTTACGGAACATGGTTTAAATATTTATGTTAAATGGCAGATCTACTGATATTGAAAGGTGAAATGTTTATGGGGAAGTCAAGTTGTCCCGTTCGTGAATAAAATGGAAAAAAAAATACATTCCACGCACAGACAGACAAAATAGTGAAGTATTTTATGAAATCATATGTAAGCAGAACGACCGATTAATAATTAGGATATGCTCAAATGAAGACGGGGCGATTAAATATATGGGAATGGTCGGGTTAACACGAATGAAGAGGGTGCGATTAAGAATATGGGAATGATCGGGTTAACAGGAATGAAGTGGAGCGATTAAGAATATGGAAAGGTTCGGGTTAAAACGAATGAAGAGGGAGTGATTAAGAATATGGGTATGATCGGGTTAACAGGAATGAAGTGGAGCGATTAAGAATATGGAAAGGGTCGGGTTAAAACGAATGAAGAGGGAGTGATTAAGAATATGGGTATGCCCAAATGAAAAATAAATTGAGAGGGGACCATTAAAAATATGGGAACGGTTGGGTTAATACGAATCAAGAGGAACCGATTAAAAATATGGGAATGGTCGGGTTAACACGAATGAAGAGGGAGCGGTTAAGAATATGGTAATGGTCGGGTTAACACGAATGAAGAGAGATCGATTAAGAATATGGGAATGGTCGGGTTAACAAGAGGGGCGAATAAGTAAATGGATATGCTCAGATGAACAAGAACGGATTCTTTATATAGTAGTGACAACTGTCGTACACAGACCAGGGTATTCTTACTCTTCTGGAACACCTGATACTACTTCCTATTCAAGTTAACAGAAATGAAATGGGGTTTAACGTCCTAAATTTTATAAATCCACTGGGCTAATGAAGACGGCAATAATGTTGCACATTTAATCCCCGTTTTTATCTTCAATATCTGGCAAATGTTCCAAAAAGGTATTTCATATGCTTTATGAATATCTGAATTCAATACAAATAAATTATTCTGTCTAATCACATTACACGCTGATTAGTCATGTCGATTTTTGGTTCTTCTGCTGACTTTAAACGAATTACGACCACACATAGGATGATATTGACCATCTTAAAATAGCATTGGATTTAAAGTCAATAAAATAACTACTCGTCATCTCAAACTACAAATTATAAGTTGATATCTTTCACATATAATTGTATCAAGCTACCATACTCTTAGTTGATATCTTTCACATATAATTGTATCAAGCTACCATACTACTTAAAATATCATTAAAGGGTAGGGAGTACGTCAATAATCATTTTTGGACCAGTAATCGGTGGGTTCCTTTTGCCCAATTGGCCAAACCGCCAAATGCCAAAAATTCGTCTTTTTGATCGACATTGACTGCTTCGTTAAAAATCAGAAATGTATGAACCATCGGACAAACAACTGGCCCCTAAAGCGCTACTTATTTTGTTGTTGATCTTGTTCGGAAAATAAACCTACGGCTCCGACAATTCAAATACGATGGACATGCCACTTGACATGGTTGTTCTTTAGACAGACAATTGCGCATATTACGTCACAGTTACTGGTCCATATTTCACAGGTTCCTGTTACAGAAAAGGACAAGAAGAAAACAGAACTGTCTACTATTATTCTTATTGCTTAATGATCATACTAACTCCTTTGACACACTTGCCCCTTTTTGTTGCTATGACCTTCATTTCTATTCGTATTATAATCAGTTTGTACTGTACTTTGTAAATTACTTGGTAAATTACGTCATCCCCTGTTATAGATTGTAACTCATTTTTTTCTGCGAGTCACCGGGTTGACACCACGCTTGTGCATGCCACAGACTATGGTCGTGTGTCTAGCCGCCCCCCACAACCGGCACACACACACGTCCAAAGATCCATTCATAGTCCATGTGAACTATTCGCGAGAGTCCTCTCTTTCTCTATCCGCCACCATCTCTCTTATTCCCTCCCCATCTCCTTGACGGCCTTTTTAATGAATGAATATAATGACAGAACCCGACATTTAAAAACAAATCCTTAAAAATACGGAGAGAAGTCATTAATTTCCATTTTCACAAAACACACAATTGATAATTCAGAAGGAAGTTATTTAAACCTAGATAGAGAAAGCAATAAAATACTTCTATAATATTAAAAGTTCATCGCAAGATAAAGTACCAAATATAAAAAACCCAATCTATTCAAAAGAAATATACAGTACACTTTTTAATATAGAAATAAAACCCGCTACTAAACAAGAAATAATTTCCTGTGAGATCCAGATAACTTCTTGCTGCTCGAATTAAATAAGTTTAAGTCTTGATTAGACTCACGTCTTCCAATAATTTTCATGTCAAAATCAATTTAAAATATTTCCAGTCGATCACAACAAGATAACTGGCAAAGTTATTTTCTTCTGCCAAACAGCAAATTGTATATATCTCAGATAATAATCACGTGATCACTATAACGTCAAATCCCTCGAGTAATTACCATATTTGAAATAATCTACTTAGCTTTCCGACCTGCTCTTTTCTTTGCATTTAAACTGGATTACTTTATCCAATCAAACTGCTCGTTGTGTCAGTGTTGACGTTAATCTCTTCTCTGGGTTATATCGTCGCTGTAAAAGTTTGACTTAATGGAAATTATGGCTTGTGCAATTGGGGACCAAATTGATTAATATTGTATCAGATGAACACGACACGTTTAAACTTGGATATTAAACGCCAATTAATGTCAGCTATAAATGAATTAAAATCAAATATCAT